CGTCTACGTTTAGATTATTTCCATTAGTGTGTATGAGTCTTGCTATACGCCGTACCAAACGCCAACAGGGGGCGAACCTGCCACGCTACTCCAGTAATAAATTATAAACCATAATTAGGAGGCAGGTGAAGGTGACGCGCTCCGTACAAGTATACAAGTATACAATGATCGTGCCAAATAATACAGCAACTGTAAGAAGCGCGTCCCCGAGCCGGCGCCCACGGCACCACGCAGCGCGTACTGCGGCGTGCTGCCGGGTGCTGTGGATGTGAGCGAGGGTGTCTCCGGAGCACCCGGCACGGGTCGCTCGCTTCGTAGAGACCTCTGTATTGTTTTAATATCTTAATGTATGTATTTACGTGATCGGAATGAGTTCTGTGTGTGACATTTAAGTTAGAGTACTGTGATACATGCGGCTTAGTTTATAATCTGCTCAATATTTCCTTTTCCAATGTGTGTATCGATCAAAATTATACGATAATTGTATGTATAGTCCTGGCCAGCACTGACGGCCTCAATGTGTTGCATTTATCTGTAACCCGTATCGTAGTAGTGTTAAGTGACTCGCTGCGTCTCAACGTGACGTTACACTCTCACGTGTACCACGATTACATATTACTTAGGCTATTGTAAGTACATACGAGTGTAAGGATTTGAATAGTAGGGGAGACGCGCGGCCCGGGCGCCGGGATGAACGACCGCGCCGTCCTGACGCCGCGTCCTTGTTTTTCATCTTAATTAATTATAATTTATAATGTAAGCATGACCGCCAATTACAATTGGCTCGAAAACACCTGACGGCGATGTGTCATATGAACAGTATTTATTTTTAATGTATAACACTTTATTGTAACTTTGTCGTTCTATGGTAGAGCATACTGGTAATGTATGTGTTACAATTGTTGACGCTGACCGAGCGGTGAGCGCCCAGGGCAGGCGAGCGTCGTGACGTCATCGACTGGAGACGGCTCTTCTCTTCCACTTCACTTAAACAGTAGAATCCAAAGATAAATACGGATATCCATTTCAATGGAATAAATTATATTAATGGACAATATCTTTTATTTTATGTGCTAGCTAATATATGTATTTAGTACCCTACTTAGTTTTATACAGCTGAATAAACAAAGCCCGAAATGCGTCGTAGCAGTAAAGTAATGTCGGTAATTTGTATAGTAATTTGGGAACTTTCCAAAATAAGTAAAAAAGACTGGCTCGCAGTAAAGTTAGTATGAGCGACCGGGTCGGCCCGACGCGGAGTGGCAACTCTAGCGCTGCGGGCTCACCCGAGAGCTGCCACTCCGACCTGCCCTCACACTGGAACCGAATAAATAGTACCAAAGGTATTATTAGATTTAAAAAGACCGCGAGGAATTGCTTTTTTCTAGTACGTTCACAATTAAGGATATAAGATTTAATATCACTTCTTAGATTAATAAGCCTTTTCTGGATCTCTGGACGGACTTAATTTCTAATTCTAAATTTTAATAAATTGACATTTCCAGAATCTTAATCGTTGCCCAGAGATATTCAGATATATGGTTGCGATTGCGAGGAGATAAATAAAAACTACGCCGATATACTCGTACATTAGGTACAGAGGTGCGTAGGTACAGAGGACTTATCGTGGTGGAAACACTCGAACTATGTACTTGTTTTGCTGATTGTTGTGAATGAATCAAGAAGAATGGAAATAAAAATCCATAATAAAATAATTCAAGTTTACTGTTGTTTTTGTACTAACAAATACAGTAAAAGATATTAGTTATTCGCAGGGTTTAAGTTCCGTAAATTTCCGCAAATACAGAAACCGTGAATATGGAATGGTAATTTAGATATATGGCGCGGCAAAGGCGGCTTTTGTTAAAAATTGAATCAATACAGCGGCGATATCATTTAACGGCATACGTTAGGCATACCTAGTTGTAGTCTATTTTACTTTTTTTTAAGTCGAATTGACGACTCGTTTAAAAAGGATATTCTGTTGGATACCTACATATTGAAACCTTTTTATCAATGTGTACATATATCCGATACATAACGATCTACCGATTAAATCCGCGAATATAGGGATTGGGTCGATATATTTTAATCCGTGAATAATGAAAACGGGATAAGGAACTTTTACTGTATATCTTAAATTAGTTACCCTAAGTAACTAGGTACTTAGGATTTTTACAAAACGAACTTCCACTTAACTCTTAGATTAACTCTTATCGTTTCTTAAATTCCATAATTCGATAGCTTAGAGAAGCTGATGGTAGTTGGTCAGGTTGACGGGAGAAGATCACGCAGACGGTCACCTACCCGCTGGTCTGATCTAGTAAAGACGCTCAACGGGCTTGCCAATAACCGAGGCTATAAAGACCGCCGACGACAGGAAGACGTGGGGAAGCATTGTGTATCGAGTGGTCCACATTTCAAATTAGACACGACCTCCAGCAATGAAGAGACCGACTCAGAAGAAGATATTCCAGAAAGTGGTGCGACGCGATACCCCCTCTATCGTGGACGCCTCTAATTATATTATACCAGACCCAGGAGACGGGGCAACCTAAAGCCGCCACCGCCATAAGCACATCCTATGGAATGCTATCGATGCTGTTCACTCTTCATCACCGTTCTCGTCGAGCTCTTCGAAGTCCGAAAGCCTCTAGGCACAACCCCCTGAGCTTCAAAGTAGGTCGCGATTCCGATCTACTTGTGGACAGCGATAAATTAATTTTATAATATGATTTTTAATTGCTTTAGTTCGACACGTCAAACGAGGCTAAATACATGTCCGCGGCGAGTCGCGGAGCACACGCTCCGACGAACCACTCCAGCGCGTTGTCTGACCGCGCTTGAAGCTTGACTTCTGCACTCTCTGCCTTGTAGCGGTCGTCCTAACGGTCCGCATACACTGGATGCCTAAAACACCCCAACGACATTACCACAACGCACCATCTTTCGTTTTAATTAATAGCGAAAGATGCTGCATAAATTGAACGTAGACCTAAAATAAAAGATTATTATTATTATTTGTACTATGTTCTAGTACGAAAGTGAGTTCACTATTACCCCTCAACTAGTGCTGCGCAAAATATTTCACAGCTGATAAGTTAGAAATATGAAAAACTAGGCTAAAGCATTTAGAAACCAATTTCTATTTTAAAAAAAGAATATATTTTAAGTGAAAACTTCTTTAGTCGCGTTGAGCACTTTTTGGTAGAGCAAAACTTATGGGCGAAATTTGAAATTTGAAATTGTTTTTTTTTTTTTCATTTATTCAAAATATCTACCTACCATTATTACACTAGCTGACCCGGCAGACTTCGTAGTGTCTCAATAGATAAATAAAAGACCTAAACTTTTGTATAAAATAAACTTAAAACAAACAAAAGGAATCCGTCCGACGGAGGACCCATCAAAGAAAAAACAAAATTGTTATTTTTATTTAATTCCGAGCGTTTTCATATTTATCTACATTTTAAAACTTCTCTGGACTTCCACAAACGATTTAAGACCAAAATTAGCCAAATCGGTCCAGCCGTTCTCGAGTTTTAGCGAGACTAACGAACAGCAATTCATTTTTATATATCGACGCTTGAAAGGCAAACGTGATTAAGCGACAATAACTGTTTTGTACATAAATGATAGTCAATAACCATATTTGATGCGCAAAAAAATATATTTCTAGGTCTATTAAAATCATTTCAATCCTACAGCTACTAGATTCTACTACAGCTGGATTCGTTAAATTTTGTTTTCAGGTTTTTCAACTTTAAATTAGTCTACTGTAAAGTTAACCTGATAGCCTTGAGAGGCTATTTCAGCGTAGCCTTAACTAGTTGGTGAGCTCACGGGGCTCAAACCGGAGTGTTGCTAACACTGACCCTAGCAAGAGCAGTGCTTCGCAGAATCAACCACCGGATCGGAAACGGGACCCACTGAGAAGATCCGGCGAGAAACTCAGTGGGCTGTGTCTGTGGGTTAATTCGCGAGGGACGGGTTCGACGAGGACGGTGACCGGTGCTTGTATTGCCTAAAAGCACCATTAATGGATCTGGAGGATCCGTAATGACGTGCTTTGGGCGACGTCGACGGTTTACCATTCGGTCTACAGGGTCGGGTATGTAGTTTCCAGCGGCCACGACAAGAGGGTTCTCATGGCGTGCCGAAGAGCACCGCTGTGCTTTTCGTGGGGTTGATGTCGATGCGCCACTTCCGGAACCACTATCCCATGGTGGTAGTTGCACAGATGACATATTGTGTACCATTATAGTGCTCGTTTGACCTGACTGGCGGTGTTCAGACCCCGCAGGTACCAGTTGTTCTAATAAAATACATTCTTATGTTCACGAATTACCCCCACGATAAAGGTTATCATGACATAGCAACAACGGAATTCCCAAAACGTTATTTTTATGCAATTGTGACATAGGCCTCAAATTTTGAGGTAGGCGGCGGCATTTACGTTTTCATATTCGCGAGCTCTGGTAACCATTTAAGAATAAACAAAAGTTTTTGATAATGTCTCATTTCGTTTTTCCCTTAGAATTGCAGTAACGAGTAAGGGCGAACTCCGACCACAGCGAGAATACCACTATTGATAATCGTCTGAATGATGGTCAGCTCTGCCCTTAGTCGGGACAGTATCAGTTGGACATGTCGATAATAAGTGAAGGATGACGCGGCTGAAGGTCGCGGTGACGATGTTCCGCTCGGGCACCGTCGCGTCCGCGGTGTACACTCGCCGACACCGCGCTCTCGCACACCGACCGACTTGTTCGTGGAGTTTAGATTGGTTAACAAAGGCGACTAAGCACATTGCCTACTTAGTAACTGCTTTAAGCTTTACCTTGCTAATAAAGTTTTAAAATAAGTCAGAGCGTAACGGAACGTAACGTTTACGGAACCCTAACAAAAAAATAGGGAATGTAGAACAGAAAACGGCATTGTTTTGGCAACTTCATTTGATTATTTTTTTGCCTGCTTATCTGCTAATACGGTGAAAAACACAGGAACTTGTGGAACGTTGGTGAGCGCTAATGGCGTCAGAACGGCAGCCGTCGACGACAACTGCTAACTGCTTTCATGGCAGACGTAAAGTGAGTGAAGTAATAATAAGATCGATATAAACGACCATGACGGAAACCCTACTCTTGCTCATTGATTAGTTGGCCATCGGCAAGAAATCCTAAGAGTTTGACATTAATAGTCCGCTATATTACCTCGGTAAGCAAGGGCTGATATCGAGAGAGGGTCGATGAAATGGGACCCTTTTGCTGATGTGAACAAGGAGATAGAAACGCGTCAGCTCAGGTGTTAAGTGTTTAATGATAACTAGGTCCTATATTCATAAAGACAGCTTTAACAAAGCTAAAATAAATAAACAAGCAACTCTTAAATATTAGTTATTTTTCTCTCAACCGATAATTAATGAGTGCAATCATATGCTACGGCCGAATGACTGGAGTGAATGAAGGGAAGATCAGCGGTGAGATTGTGTGGAGGAGTGTACCGGTGCGCGCGGCTGAGTCGAGGAGGTCGCGTCGCTCTGCTTCGCGCGCCACCCTGACCGCCCACTCAATAAAACAAGCCGGCTATTCATAATCAATATATTAACAATAACAATTTCAACAAAACAACACTAACTAATACTCGTAGATTGGATGGTAGAGTGGATTCTTCTACCTACTTAAGCTTACAACGAAGTTCTATACAACAGAGTGACAGTACTCGGGCCGCATATTCACGATGGATCTTAGTGGAGCCCTCCCGCTTCTATGCGACCCTTTATTTGATAATACTTATTATATAATAATACAAAAGGTTACGCATTTATAACTGTAATTTTGTTATTAATACATCAATTTGTGTACATTGACCTCATATAAATTGATAAAATAAATTGTTTTGCACCTAAATTCATGTCGTTGTCTTTTTGTTGTTATGCTTTGACGAGTTGTACTCATGATTAAGGACAGTTTTAGATGCCTGCTTATTTTACCCGGTGGCCCACAAAAAACGTAAACTATCTAAAGGAAAAAACTTAGGAGTATGAAATGAATAACATAAGGATCTGTTAGCCGTAAAACTGTTATTAATCATAAATACGATTACTATATTACTGTCTATCTACTTACTAAGGTACCTACGTAAAATTTGGAAATGTTTTATTCTCCTACAATAATTAAACCTACATCTGAATAAATATTTTGTCGTAACCCTGCGCACCCACGCATCACAGCCATTGAAGCTCTGTCACGGACGCGCCCTGGCTACCCTCGACTCGACGTCCAACTGGGGCGCCCGGCGCGTCGCACGCTCGGTTCCCGTATCCTTTAATCACTTTGAGCCAACTTAAAGCTTCTCTGTGCGTTCAAAACAACTCGGCTTTCTTAGAAAATGCTTTCATCATCATAACAAACTATATCACAAAATGAATTCTTTTGAACAACTCTATTTGCTAGGAACACTATCCTTAAGCTAGAAATATATAATCTATAGAATGAAGTCGATAAGGTCAAATGAAACATTCAATGGACAATTCAGTACCACAGAGGATCTCTGCAAGATGAAGTTTTTTGAACTCTAACTGTACTTCTTGCATAGATGAGAAAGAAATCATTAATCGCATTGACATGCGAATGTGTCGTCCTATCAAAGACCAGAATGACAATATTGGTTGACGGAGTAACGAATAAGATCAAGAGCCTGAACCAAAAACCCGGAGTTGGAGGGTCGGCTCGTTCGGATGTGAGGGAACAATTTGTGAGAAAGCCGAGTTCAAGAACTACTATACCTACTTACTAATATTTCAATTACGTATTTTAATTGTGTCAGTAATTTATGTACATTATCACGAGCCTGGATAGGTCACATGTCTGTACAAAATGTATAATTGACTTTATAAGCTACGATTATAAATATTTGTGGAAATAATCTTGTATTTAAAACTTTAAGTACATAAGAATGCAAAATTTCAACAATAATACGCATACCTACATAAAAATGTTAATTATACTAGGCCTAAGGCGGATTTATATCGGTCCATCGCCTAACAATAGTGAGGTCACACACGGCTGTCATAATCCATAAATAGTAGTTAATTCATTATAAATAAAGCGTTGATAGCGACAGCACTGCACGTCTTCGAGTGAGCTCGTCACTCCGTGCCGTGCCGTGCCGTGCCGTGTCGTGTCGTGTCGCGCCGTGCCGTGCCGTGTCGTGTCGTGCGGCGCCGTACAGCACCGTGCTCCGTGCTTGCGAGTGAGACGGCTGCTGCTGTAGTGCGCGTTGTCTGCAGACTTTAGTGCTGAGCTTTGGCTTATCTTATCAAACTTGCCAGACTTATCGCACTAAACCATATAGTGTTTTTTTCTATTATATATAGAACTTTACTACGCAATGACGATGTCAAGCAAGGTAGTTCGTAGTCTGCGCTGAGATGTTGAGGCAACACGTCATGGATGGGGACTGGGGGCCGTGTCTACACAAGCCGAGGAGCGGATTCAAGTTGATGTTTCACGCCAGAGACGGCGAGGATGTTCTTAGCGACGTTCTTGTGAGTGTCCTCAAATGCAGCTATGTTTGGGTTCAAGGGCACCGAGCGCCTGTCGCGCGAATTCTCTAACAAACAATACATTTTTTGACGTTAAATTTACTATCGTTCAATCAACGAGTGTGAGGGCGACGGTGGCGGAGGCGGGCCCTCTAGCCCGGTATCGGCGCTTCCTCGTAGAAGTCCGGCTCGTCGTCCTTGTCTATATCTTTCTGGGCGCCGTCCAACTGTCAATGTGAAGCGGAAACGATTAAAAATAGCTACAATTTGTATCGAGCGAGGCGAACCACCACATAAAGTAAGTTGCATATTACCGCGCGCAGCTGCAGCGGCGTGAAGATGTAGACGAGCGACATGCGCAGCGGCACCATCAGCACCAGGAAGAAGGGCAGCGCCAGCGAGAACCGCGACGACTTCACCGCGTACAGCACCACCACGCCGCCCACTTGGATCAGCGTGTACATGTGCATCTTCAGAGTCGGCACCTGCGCGCACACACACACCTCATCTCTCCATGACCACTATGAACTCTCTCTTGCCTTAATACAAATAGGTTTTTTGACAAGCAGTGGACAGTTTGAAATGCATAAAATATGGATATCTGTATAAAACTCTAAGTTGTTCTCGAGATGTTTGGTTAGATGTTGTCGTATGGCGGATTCAATATCTTTATCATTGCTTGTATTCATTTGTTATGTCGTTCGGTAGTGGACCGTGGAGATGGACCGCGTTCAGGTTTACGTATCACAATATAGGTACAAGAAATAAATTAGTTTATTAATTTTTTAAATAGTTTACGTTATTAATTTATGTTTTATGTCTACGACTCGAGAACATATATTAACAATAATGCGAGAACATACTTTATTACTGAATATAATTTTCTTCAAGAGGCTAATTAACGCCGTCCCCTACAGTTGATGTTTGTTGTACCTAAGCTACTTCATTGTTCACTTCTAACGCTGCAACGATTCAATCTCGCATTTGTTTAATTTACGATCGATACTCACTCTTATAACTCGTTATTTTGACAACAAAAGACTGAACTGTTATTTTCAAATTAGCAAAGTAAGGCCTCCAAGGTTCGCTCCAAGCACGCGTCCACACACGGGTTTGACTAAGCCCGCCGTTCGCTTTTGAATTGTTCACCGCCAAGTAGCCGGATTAAATAAATACATGTGTACGAGTATATAAAGAGTTTTCTTAAAAAGCGCAGGGTTTGTTTTATCACTATGCCAATGTCTTCCGAATACATATATTGGAGTTTACTCCTTTAGAATCGATTTACATATATAGGCCCGGGGTATGAAAATTATGGGGACCAAAATCGTACTAGCATGTCACACGAAATGCGTTATGCGCCTGATTGCGCATGTCACACGAAATGCGTTATCGCAGGTGACGCCGGGCTGCTGCGCCGGCAGTCCGCCACAAAGCCTCGTACTGATCGCGCGTTTCTCTCATTATTGTATTTTCATATATTTGTTAGTCGTTTGTTTTGTGTCTCGTTAATTTGTTAATAATCTGTAGTGTATCGTGTTGTCGTAATATAGAACTATTTCTCGTATTGTTTCGTTTAATTTTTTATATCCAGTAAACTCCAGTCGTGCGTCGGAGCGGACACACACACTTTTTTATTATGTAGGTACATAGATCGTGACACACGGACAGACAGGTCGTGAATCAGCACACAAGGGTTATAATGTTCGAATACACGAAAGGCTCTTTTTTATTGCTTAGATGGGTGGACGAGCTCACAGCCCACCTGGTGTTAAGTGGTTACTGGAGCCCATAGACATCCACAACGCAAATGCGCCACCCACCCTGAGATATAAGTTCTAAGGTCTCAAGTAAGTTACAACGGCTGCCTCACCCTTCAAACCGAAACGCATTACTGCTTCATGGCAGAAATATGCAGGGTGGTGGTACCCACCCGCGCGGACTCACAAGAGGTCCTACCACCAGTAATTACGCAAATTATAATTTTGCGGGTTTCATTTTTATTACACGATGTTATTCCTTCACCGTGGAAGTCAATCGTGAACATTTGTTGAGTACGTATTTCATTAGAAAAATTGGTACCCACCTGAGATTCGAACACCGGTGCATCGCTCAACACGAATGCACCGGACGTCTTATTCGTTAGGCCACGACGACTTCATAAAACTTCGCTTTTTTCATTTTTACATTTTTTTATAATATTTGAATTTATTATTGTAAAATATAACAATAAAAAAATGCCATACAGATTATGAACTAATGATTGAGTTTTATCGAACCAATAAACCCATTTTTGCAGTTGTTGCTTAAGTATTTATGGTAAGTGCTTATTGAACAGGGTTGCTTGTTGCATCATTTTTTTGTTTATTGTTTTTGTATTACGAGTAATAGAATAAATAAATAGAATGTCTCACCCGTCTAACGTAAGGAAGTTGCGGGTGGTGTTTGACTGGCTTGAGAAGTAGAATACAACGGTCCCAGAACTGTATTCCGCCGAGCGCAGAGATCCCCATGTAGAGGAAAACGCCGAAGAGCACCGCCATGGGCACGAGACAGAGCCAGCCCGAAGCGAGCACCGAGATGCCGACCATCACCGCCACGAGCAGGCCCGTCAGCCGCTGCTCCTTCACCTCCACGATGTGCGGCTTGTCCCCCGGCGCGTGCGTCGTAGACATGATGGTGAGCGCCGACACGTGGCTCACGGACCGCACCGTGGCCACGCACTGCCACGGCGCGCCGAACATGCCGCACAGCGCGTTCACAAACGACATTATCACGATGTCCATGTGAAACCCGCTACCCTTCTTCAGCCTCCGTTCCGGCTTCGCGATGATCAACCTGCGTCACGGAGACATTCCATAACAGTCATCCGCCCTAACTCTGACTTCCGTCTTGGTATCCAGATCAAATAAATGACGGTTTCTAAGATTACAAGTAAAGGTATAAACGTACCAATATTGAATGAAGTCAATTAAAAATGTAGTTTTTGCATGATGCTCGAACGAACCAATACACAAATCTACATACAGCTCCTACTCTGAAACGGCTTAGGGCAATGTGTTTGTGTGTACCGGTCATTGTGTGCCATATTTAGAGAAACAAAACTTAAAGAAAAGAGACTTACTCGGCGATGTGCGTTTCCATGAAGACGATGATGTAAACCATGAGCGCCGGCAGCGCCATAGCAAAAGCTGCCCAAGCCGGGATGGTCTCCAGTCCAGGATTGAGCGGCACGAACCAACTGCGCACAGTAGTGGGGTTGAGACCAGCCGGCACCACCAGGGTCTCTGTCTTCACCGGCACCAAGCAAGAGATGCCGACCATCAGCACGATCGCGATCGGCACTCCGAAATCACCCAGCGCTCGACGAGCCTGAATACCATCACGACCAGTTACTTGGACCCTCGAAGTAGCGGACTCTGCGTACGTATAAAGTTTATGTTCTGTAACTCACGCTGCGACCGAGGAACTTGCCGTTGCGAAAAATTCTGAGGTAGTACGCCAAGACGAAGGTGGCCAGCGTCAGCATGGTGCAGAAGAGAGCCGTGTTGGGCTGCGGAGGCAGTCTGGAGACGGGCGGCGCTGGGGCGACCACGCTAGAGTTACCTGCGCGACCAAGGCATCGGATGCACTCATTGCGGCTCACTCGCATCGTAATTATGAAATACATATTCATAACATTTTATAGCTTTGTTTTATTTTTGTATACATATTAACAATAGGTACTATAGGTAATGACAGTGATGTGGTTACCGACTGAAGTAGAGTTTAGAAGCGGCTGCACTGTGGAATTCGAGAGGGCCACCTCTCGGAACTGGCAGTAGTCGATACCGAGCGGGTTGGCGCGGTACACGGCGATGGTGCTCGTGATGGGTTCCGATATGAAGATCAACGATATCAGGAAAGCGAAGATATCCTCAGTGAACCTGTTCGATAGCATATGTCCATATGTACAGATAGATGCTGCGCTCTGATGCCGCGTTTTGGTGACCTGGTCACGACGGGATGAACAATGTAAGGGAAACGGACCTGGTAATCTTTTTAACTGCGACGCTGCCCTCGACGGAAGCGACGCATAGCGCGATCACTATCATCCAGAGGCCGCAGTACATGCGCGCCGCGAGGAAGTCGAACCCGTACGAGTGACAGAAGTTGGCCAGCGACTCGTCGAGCAGCAGCAGCGGCCCCGTCGCTCCGGTTATCATCATAGGCTGGCCGGCCACCAGCGCGAACAGCACGCCGCCAGCGCTCGTGAACACCTGCAGGTCACCTTCCACTGCACTTCTCACATAACCGCTGCTCTTGTCCAAATTCAAATAGCAAAATTGTATGGATTGCACTCATTGTAGTCATATCTTTACACTTAATTAGTGTACGCCGAATAACTGATGTTCGACTATAATCACTAATACCTCAAGATTTTAATTTTTCTTTTCTTTTCTTTTATAAATTGATACTTTGAAAAAGAAAATGAGTGTTTTTCAAATTATTCAAGAATAGCAATAAAACTCGTCAATAGCTAAACAAAAAAGCCAGTAGAAAATCAGATGAGTAATATAATACTTTCAAAAAGTACGATATCTTAATCTTTCCCAATGAAACAGTTTAGAACGTAAATAAAGTGTGTCGCTAGTTGGCAGCCAACGTTCACTTCGCGAATTCACAACTTACCAGAGTTTCGGAGATACCAATTTTGCCGTATGTCTTCTCTGCCAACAGCCCCCCGAAAGTAATAGCAGAGGAAACCGCTGCGAAGTACATGAAGATGGTGGCCGCGACGCATTGACCATTTAGCGCGTCAACAAAGTCGGACACGTAGAAGGGGTACCGCCTCTTCATGTCCCGGATCACACCTGCACACAGAATGCACACGCACTTCGGGTTAGGTTCGGTCCGCACGAGCTATGTTGGGGTCACCTTTATCAGAGCTTACCTCCAAACAGTCGTCCCGTTCTAGAGAGAGGATCGTCGGGTTCTTCGGGAGGCATCCCTCCTGCCTCGGCCGCGAGCAACGCTTTCTTTTCGTCTGAAGGCTTGTCCCCGTCCGCGACGATGCGCTTGCGCTCTAAGGCGTTTATTTTGCGACGCCGGATCATTTCACTCTTAGCGCGCAGCTCCTCGAGCGGCAGCAGCGCTTGGCGCTCCCAGTCTCCGGGCGGCAACACTATGGAGTCGTCGAGAAATTCGTTGATAGCCGAGAGAAGCTCCCGACGGTCGTCCGCCTTGTACGCGATCGAGTGGAACGCAGGGTTCGACATGAGCGTCGAGATAGACCGACCGACCTCATGGTAGTCGAGATCAGCTCCACCGGGTCCCAACAGAATGAACATGAATCGGACCGGGACGGGCACCTCGGTTATCGAAGGCATGTATATTCCCTCGGCGAGACGCACGAAGGCGATGGTCGGCTGGTCCAGGAAGCCGACGGCGCCGACCAGTACAGTGGTGGCCTCGGCGTCGTCCGGGATGCGCTTCAGGATCGAGTCGTTGTGAGTGCGGCGCAGCTCATCCTGCGACTCGGAAGCGTGCGCCAGGTACTCGACCTCGCGCGGGTCCAGCCCGGCCGCCGAGGGCCGCGCGTGCGTGCTGCGCCGCCGACGCTCCGATAGATTCTATGTACAAACTAACTCTTACAGACTTTTTCCATATTACGACACATGATTACGACACGTACATACTCGTATTATGTATATGATCATACACACACACACACACGCACATGCACACACACAGAGCTCTCTATTCTAAACATTTTCAAATAAAGTCAGAACAAATGTACACAATAAAAAATCTTGAAAACAATGAAGGCACTAGACAATGTTTACGAAGTGCTTGTTGGAGGAATGAATACTGGTTTAAGTTTGGAGCAAACGCCGCGAGTAGACGTCTTGCGTCGAGGCTCGCGCGCGGATGTATGGAGGTGGTGCAGGAGCCCCTCGCGGCCTGTGTCACTTCTCTGTGACGTCACCGGGGATGATGCGAGCAAAGCGAATGTTCACCTATCGAATTCGGGTGGCCCTCGTTCTCGAGACATCGGAGTGACCAAGTGATCCAAGCTAATCAAACTACTACAATACAAAGTACATACTACGTACATTTATGAAGAACGATATTTACAGATGGCTCTAATATGAGATACCAATACACATTCATCGATCACCTACTGCAGATGATGTCGATGTGATGTCTAATAGAGAAAATGCAATGTAGTAGGTTAGTAGTGTAGTACGAGTAGCATGAGCAGTTCTTGTACTAGGGTGAGGGGGAGCATGCGGGGCGAGGTCCGTACGAGGAGGGCGACGCTGTGGCGGCGGCAGGCGGCGCGGGCGGAGCAGCCCGAGCAGCGCGACCGCAGCGCCTCGTTCTCTTCCAGCCACAGCGACTGCAACGTGCGCACTGCGACTCTACACCACACGTCTCCTGCATGCATCCCTTACACACTACGCTCCAATGTTCCAACAGAAGAAACCCGGTCAACGGAATAACTCTTCAGAAACAGAGAAGTCATAGTAAATTAAGAAGTTACTTTCGAAACAAAGGTTTTCTGAAGTTCTTATGGTTATTTGCACTCCATTGTAAAATACTTATAAATAAGTACTGAATAAGTATACCTATTTATAAATAAGTACTTATCTATATAATATGAATTGAAAGAATTTTTAAATTAAATATTCCCTATAACTCAAATAAGTATGATAACCTTTGCACAAAACATCATCTAATTCCACTTAACTTGCGACGTGAGTTTGCTGGGAGTGTATATTATTTAAAAGTCATTAAAGGCTTGGTTGGTTATCCGAAACTCTTAGCCAAAGATGACTCCAACTGTAAGGCATCTGAATCTAGTCTGCTAAGTACAGACTGGATTGAGATGCCTTACAGTGTCAGTACAGTTAAGTACAGACTAAGCTCCCTCCTGTTGCGTGCTGGCGGTGACTTCACCAGATTTGACAGTTGGTTGCAAGGTGCTGACCCATTTGATTCTACTACATATTGCAGAATGAGATGACGGGGCGAGGGGGTTGGGGGGGGGGTCACGTGCAACATAATATTGATCATTTCTATAATCAGTGGCTGGGGCTACATTTAGTTCTTCTTTTACTTTTTATATTTATTTAAAAATATATAAGTTTATACTAGTTTATGTTTACTAACATAATTTATTACTTAGTATTTATTAATATTTTTATATATTATTTAATTCTTAATAATTACTACATTTTAATTACGAGTATAAAATTACAATTAAAAGTAAAATATAAAATATTTAATTTATTTACTGTTGCTGTTTGTTTATCCATCCAGTACTTCCATAGCTACTTAGGCACAGGTGTGTCGTATTGATTCTGCCTTCTCTAGTAGGTAATACTGAATCGTATTATGATAGGATACTGATAGGATCAGATAAAAATATGGAAGAGAACTCGTACGATTAACGACAGCACGATTGTCAAGAAGACTCGGACATCGATGCCCGGCTTCTTCAAAAATATTTCTTATTTAAATACGTTCACATGTTCCCATCGCGTATACTATCCGTACAGCCTATCCTGTGTCATGGGAGAAGTAGATCGCAAGGGCGCGGCAGGAGTCGCTGCCTTTACTTTAAGGTTTTAAACTAATCAGATAATGGACACGCGACCACCTACAAAACGAACAAACAAACAAATAGTATTTTATTATCACATTCCGTAGCATTTAGTCCGTACCAGTGGACTCCGAGGGCCAGGTTCAATGACTTAGGTCATTAGGTGAATAGGTACATCAGAAACATGTGCATTACGGAGTCGCGCAACAGACGCGCGTGATGGACGTGCGGCGCCGACCACCGGCCCCGGCTACAATACAGTCTCACACTCACAGAGGCTGCGCGCGTGCACCGCAGCGGAGGGCGTCGGTGGCTGGCTGCTCATTACTGCGCTAACTTTACTTTAACCGTATTCAAGGTCGACGATTCAAGTTTGCTCCCGTACAGAATGTGTTTTTATACATGAGAATACAACATCCGCCTTCTACTGTACGCGTATTAGTGTGTTGACCGTCACGGAGAGCAAAGTTCAAAGGTTTAGTTTTTGTATTAGCTTGTTTAGTGTGCGCCTCAACATATCGCTTGCACGTCAGGCATCAAGCCAGCCGCGACCGGCGCGCTCGCTGCCAGTCGACGCCATGCACTCGTGGAGCTGCGACAGGCCCCGAAATCAGTACCTGCAGACTGCTGTAGGATGCGGGCTTCTTGCTGCTGATGGAAAAGCGAAACCCGCGGTCGTCGTGGACATGCCGGTGCCGCAACAGCAACGAACGCATCACGACGGGCTTGTCGTCCTCCTCGATCAGGCCTTCCGTCACCATACTCTCCACGACCCTGCGTCACAGCACCATACCCTCCGTTAACACATATACATATATCCATATAAAGATAGATGTCCTAGGTCGTATGTCCACTTGGGTCAAGATTTTATCTTTGTTTGTAAAAGTACCTGTAGGCGACGCCGGGCAAGTCCTTCTCGTCAAGGTCTAGCAGCACGACGCCGGTCTCTAGACAGCGGCGCAGGTTCAGCAGCGAGTGGAATGAGAGCGACGCGACGTGGGGCCGCCCCCAGCGCGCCGAGCCCTCCTCCACGTCCTCCTCGTACTTGATCCAGCGCGCCGTCTCCTTCCACTCCGCTTCGCCGTCCTCCGTCGCCAGCAGCTCGTCCAGTTGCACGAACACCTGCAACGTCACACATCGCATCACCGGCGCCCCGGAGACAGCCTGACGCGTCCGTATCTGCAGCTCTGCATCACTCACCGCGTGCGGACTGTGGTCGTACATTTTCTTATATGTCGCATCAGGAAGAATGTTCTGGACCTTGTCACCGCCATCCTTACGACCGACGTGGACCGTTGATGTCTGTTTGACGTGACAATATTACAAAGATCAGATGGCACGTAGATGCAGAGAGTCTCGGAGGAGAGGAGGGACGAGGTACCTTGGGTTGTATCTTGTGACGACGAAGAGCGCGCGGGTCATCGGTGCGGTGACTAAGCTGGTCTCTCTGCGATTCTTCAAGGCCTTCATCGTCAGAAGCAGTTCGCTCCCCGCCCTCTTGCAACGAGTACTTCCGCGACTTGTGTCCGTGTCGTCTGAAACCAACCGTCGCCTCATCATACAAATCTCTAACTATAATTTTCTGTTTCTGAAGAGGACATCAGAGACAGAGAAGAAACGTAGCGCCCAGCCTTGCGTCTGAGCGACACGTTTCAATCAATCGTCAGTCTTAAAATAAATAACCTCCTCTGACATTAGTCGTTGTTAATTTCACTCTATCGATTCATTTATTACATTCGACATCGTAATGAGATGAGGTTTGTTTTTCTGAATAAGCATTTATAAAATTAAATTGGTTAGCATAATATGTTGTTCTGTCCACTACGGCAAGTCACAACTCACACGATGAATTTCATTTCTTAGTAACATTAGTCACTAGAACATCAATGTCCGGCAATTTCATTTCGCTCATGAAGGATCGATACATAAATTGTTGTTTATTAAATAAGTTACCGATGGCAGTAGTATAGAATGTATCTACAATTCACCAAGTAATTTTTATTAGCGAGTATCGTGCGCGTACCCTTGCGCGGCTGCTCGTTGTATCGTGTGCTGGGAGACGTGTGTTCGGCGTGGCGTAAAGTTTCCACTAGCTTCAACGTTAAAATATAACAGACATAGCTACTTACTCGCTTTAATAATATTATTGAATTAATGGGTTCATACAGCATCAAATTATAGAAATCTTTAAAAAACGATCATTTGTATTCATGCGTACGGCCCACGTGCATGTTATAGTTAGACCCTCGGTGGAGCTCGCATTGGACAAGCCGGTGTCGTGTGTGTGTCGCGTGTTCATTATTTTGTATAAATATACTATTATTTAAAATACGATGATGAGATTTAGGAAAACTCAATTTAATGTAAGCCCGGCCGCGCGTATGTGGAATAGCCCCTTGGGCCAGTAGCGTAGGAAAAAACAGCAAATATAAAATACACATCTATAAATATATTATTATAAATCGATACTTTTTCATTCATATTATAAATGTGAAAGTGTGTTTGTTTGTCCTTATTTGACATTATTTTCTTTAAAGTGACAGTTTTAAGTCAGGAGTAAAAAGATCATGTTTATCATTTTATTGACCACCCCTAGTATACCTAACTGTTAAACAAGGCTTCGCTCGCGTGATCAGGAAAAAAATATTATAAATATATATTATGGATATATAATAATGTAAACATGAGCATGCTAATAGATAGGTATATGTATGTACATACGTCCGTGTACATGCTTGAATTATGTCTCATGATGTGCGTAATTTTATGAACCCTCCAGAAAGCGCTTCCATTTACGTCCTGAACTCAACACTTAACTCCCTAAACTCCCTTTTAATATGGGTACAACTACATTGTTGCTTTTCTATTCATTTATGTACATCTTAAGAAGTAAGATTATAGTATCAGTGTTTCTCTGAAGCCATCGATTTACTTCTCTGAATCCATCTTCCACATCAGCGGCATAATCACTCCAAGAATTTCCATGAAGTATCATAAATCGCATTTAGTTTTTATTTATTTCTTATCTGATGTGTAATAAAATGTATCTTAATGTACAAAACGAATAAACCAAGTTTACCTTCGCTCTATTTTATTTTGTTCAGTTTGCAGACTTAGCGACTTTCATCGTTCCATCACGATCGATATTGAAGAGCTTCTTTAGTGATGATTCCGTTTGACACACGTGTAAGTATATCTAAAATACTTACACGAATACGATGTCATATATATTTATACTATAATATACATAAATGTAACGTGACAACTAAAAGATCCGAGAGAAAAGAGATCGCGTTCGTGTGAGTGAGCGAGGGCCCGGACGCGCGTGGTGCGGAGGAGACGCGGCTCGGCAGTACCTACGTCACGGGCGCGGCGCGGCGTGGCGGCCGTGCGCACTGCCAATGTCACTCGGACACTATTTTCGTCTGAAGCGACAATCGACACCCGCTCTAGTCTCGCTTCCGCTACCTAGTTGCTACGTTTCGCGCTCCCCACACCACCACTACACGCGCGGCCGCGCCTGGCGGTCATGACACTTCGGCTTCGAAATGCCATTCAACCTTCCCGATCGCTGCTTGTCAGATTACGAAAGCTCCTTAAACATATTATCGCTACTCCTCAGACAGACTCCGAAGTAGTCTGCATTTCTTTATTGATAATCAGCAAAATGCGGGTACTCACGCATTCCTCTCAGCGCGTCGGTCGGCGTCCGCAAGCGCGACGGCCGGGGCGTCGGCGCGCGGCGCCGGGCTCCCTCCGTCGAACTGCACGCGTCGCTCCTCCGCCGCTGACGTCTGCACAAGGTTCACGGAATTATATGCAGTGGTTGTCAGTCTAGTGTGTACAGTGTCACCTACACTGGACGGACTCATCTACTGCAGATGCGAGCAAGGGTCGCAGTAGGTCTGCGGAAGTGCTGTAGAGTGGCACGAGAGAGTGACACACTGACGACCTTGGAGACTTCTTGTTCGCACATTGTACCGTCTCGTACTCACAACGGTAAATTATTATGTAATATTGATGGCGCAGAGCGGTGCCTGGCGCCGCTGAACAGGCTCAGGAAGGAATGCTCGTCAATATTACCCATCGTCAGAAGCATACCGACTCCGCAGGTGTCATTTGTTACGTACTTAGTGTATGGAACGATGAGGTTGTGACGGATCGGTCCAGGCAGTATCACACCCGCATCCCGGAGTCACGGAGACAGTGTAGAAGCGGGTCGGGATGCGTCGTGGAAGATACTTCATTTATATAATATTATTTATAACGATGAAAAGTTTTCTCCGGCTACCAATTTTAATACTAAATGAAAAGAAGTCGCTCCTATTCTGTCCTACATGGGGTAGATGAGATGGAGCAGAGTGTACCGTCTGATTCAGGTGGGGATCCGTCGCAGGTTCGAGTTGCTCGGGTCCAGTCCGGGAAGTATCTGCATCTGTACAGAGAACATGAGAATTAGAGATTAGATACGAGAATATTGAGCAAAAGGGGGGAATAAGAAGGTACCTGTTGCGTAGGGTGGCGGGGCGGCGAGATCCCTGCGCGGCGTGGCGTCGCTGGGCGGTGGACCCTGCCCCTCGCCCCACACCACGCGGTCCATCTCCTCGTCCAGTTGCACCTCGTCATCGCCTGCGGCCTGCTGCAAGTTACGTTACGTTACGTTACGTCACAACAGTCACTACTGCAGCTCGAGCACACGGCAACGACAGTGCCAAACAACCCAAATAGATCAATTTGACCTTGATCCCAACACAGCTCCTGTACAAACAAGATGTAACTATCTATTTGCTACTCTACGAAGGCGTAGCCTGCCCTCTATCCATAGGTTGGGAAGTAGAAAGTGCTATAAGACGTGGGTTAGAGCTTTGTGTGGGTACAACCCTCGGACTACGCAGCTACAGTCCGACGACACATCTGTTGTGCAGAGTACTGTAGACCGACAGGCCGCATATGTCGGGTATTATGATCATTTAGCGATATGAGGCACTTAATTTAATTTCATCATTCGAAGGAATGCCGTACAGTAGCCGTTTGGAGGGCGGTGCTGATGTTCCGTGTCGGAACGGACCTTAGACTGTCTCTTATTTAAGAGCAGACCAAGAACTGTAGCTGGCGACGGCAGCACGGCTAACCTGCCGCGCTTGCTGCATGGCTCAACACAAACTTGTCAAGTTTGCCGCTGTGACGTCATGTGTTCTTCACGAGCAGACACTGAACATAGCTTCAAATAACTAACATCACCAGCGTTAATGATTTAACTAAACTTATATATCATATTATATTTATATAAAGGTGAGGGCACACACGAAGCGCTGTGTGGTTAACAATTAATGTAGAGAATTCCCTAAAGATATTATATGGATTTCTACACTTTCTCATTAGTGATAAATAAACGATTTATATGTATTTATTTATTTATTTATTTATGTAGTTGAAGTACACAGATACTTGTAGAATTTTATTTCATCGCGCAATTTCAGACTTGTATTGTATGTGGCTTCAGTAGGTAGCGAGTCGTGTCGTTGTACGTGTTTTTATTTTAATTGTCAGTTCATGTTCACGCTTCTCAATAAATTATTTGATATTCACACAGTAGGTACGTACTCCACGTATTTGAATCCTCGCATGTGATTACATTATAACTTGTTTGTTTTACAGTTCCAATGAGTGTTGGTGTTACGAGCGCTCCATCATGTCTGGCTCTATTGTAGCGTGGCCCTGATATAAATGAATGTGCCGCGTCTGTCCCCTGCAATAGTGCGTAAAGCGGACTACTTCAGCAGCTTCCTCGTCCGAGCTTCACATTCATTATGATCAGTACACGTAAGCGGGTGTGTCGACTGACACTCAGTGCCTCCTCGCCCTGACGTCCCGGGTAGCAGGAGCGTTACAGCTGTCGGATGGCTCGGTCTGCGGGTACGATCTCGTAGGACGCAGACTCCGGTAGGTAAAGGACATAGGTATACTCGATGCTCGAGGCTCAAAAACAGATCGCATTCGACTTCATGTAAACAATATTGAATGCATGGAACGACCAGTATCACGGAACAAGGTTTTAGAAACATATCATAACAATGGCACAGCACAGAGCTCGTGCCGTCATGTAGATAGATCACAAACAAGGTCCGCGCGAACCATCGCAGCGGTCCTACTGCGGTCCTACTGCGATTCTACTGCGGTACTACTGCGATCCTACTGCGGTACTACTAGCGCGTCGCCACTACACGCGGCATCGAGGCTCCACGCGACTACTCTCCGTTACAGACACTACTCTTTCAATACGTTACAATAAAGAGCAATATTAATTAATTTCGTTCATTTCGCTCCGCCTAATATAAAAAGAATAAGTGCGAAGCGGTTCGTACCGTCATTAAATAATAGCACGAATTGTTATTAGTTGAAACATTGTCATATGGCAGAGAGGAGATGAGCACGTATGAGCATGAACGTGGGCGGACGACTCGCGCGCTGCTCTCCGCTGTACTGGTGGCGCGGAGACGGCGCGGCGTTGCACCCGGCCACGGTCGCCGCACAAGGTCAGGGTCGCGGGGTCGATACCGTGCACCCCGCACGCTCACTGCCGCTCTCAACCGCTAACTTCGATCCAATACTACTCAATCCTAATTTACCTTCATTCCAACACGACTATTTACGTAACGTATTTACGTAAGCTAACTATGCTATCAAATCATTATTTGACTAAATTGTCACAAATCATATTCAATGGCAGATTTAGATTAGAAGGCATAGTACACCTAATTGTTATATTATAGTATACTATTTATAAACTCTATCTATACGTGTATGAGTATATGAGCATATCGGCGTTTTATGTAGAAAAGCTGTTAGTTCGTACACGTCATCGGCGAGCATCTCTTGTATAGAAGTGCGGCCCGCGCCTGCGTGCTCCGCCTTCAACATCTTCATTCTCACTTTCCTTAGATGTGCCGTCGGAGCACAGTGTTACGTGAACTTTTTAAATGTTCAGGACGCAGAGAGCGTCAGGGCGCTACTTCGGGTCAGCGATACGACACCACCTCCCTTCTCGTGGCCGCCGCTATGCACGCCGCCGGTCCGGCCCACGTCCACGCAGAACGCCACCATCGCCACCGTCGCCACCGTCGTCACCGTCGCCACCGTCGCCACCGTCGCCACCGTCGCCACCGTCGCCACTGTCGCCATAGTCACGTCCTGGGGTCAACTCGATCCGCTCTCAGTACATATTGTTAGCCTGCAACTGTAGACGTTGCAAACCCGAGCCCTATTTATGTTACTGTTTGTAAATCTTTATGTACGCAGTTGCTTGTAAGCTGTGCGTTTTAAAAATAGGGATGACTAACAACTGAAAAGTTAGTTGACCGCTTCAGAGGGTCCGGATGATTCTGGTGGTCTCGTGGCCCATTGCGAACAGCAGCTCGAGGTGAGCGGGTGCGGCGCGACCGCCATCTCCGGCAGACTGCACCGGCTGCCTCGCCGGACACACATGCAGTACGCACAACGCTTCGCACCACTTATTGACAGGGCGGTGAGAGCGACGCGTGTGCAATTAAAACAGATTCTACAACCTATGTAGTTCACATAAGAAGTCGTCGTGGCCTAAAGGATGAAGTCGTCGTGGCCTAAAGGATAAGACGTACGGTGTATTCGTATGAAGCGATGCACCGGTGTTCGAATCCCGCAGGCGGGTACCAATTTTTCTAATGAAATACGTACTCAACAAATGTTCACGATTGACTTCCACGCTGAAGGAATAACATCGTGTAATAATAACCAAACCCGCAAAATTATAATTTGCGTAATCACTGGTGGTAGGACCTCTTGGGAGTCCGCACGGGTATGTACCACCACCCCGCCTATTTCCGCCGTGAAGCAGTAATGCGTTTCGGTTCGAAGGGTGGGGTAGCCGTTGTAACTATATAGAGACCTTATAACTTGTATCTCGAGGTGGATGGCGCATTTACGTTGTAGATGTCTATGGGCTCCAGTAACCACTTAACACCAGGTGGGCTGTGAGCTCGTCCATCCATCTAAGCAAAAAAAAAANAAAAAAAAAAAAAAAAAAAAAAAAAAAAAAAAAAAAAAAAAAAAAAAAAAAAAAAAAAACCTACAAATGAGTACTCTGTAGAAGACAATGAGCTTGTAAAGTTAGGCGAGGCGAGGTGAGGCGGTATGGCGTAAGCGCATAGCGCATGTCAAACTTCCCATCGTGACGTCACATTACACTAACTCTGATCTCTGTTCAACGTCTATCGGGACTGTTCTCACATCAGATAATATATTATGATTGTGCATATGACCCGGGCGCCTCGAACTGCTGCGGCTTACAGTTTGTAATTGATTCCAGATCGACAAGCGGTGTAAGCCTGGTGCTGCAGATGAGAGAATCGAGGACAGATCATGATCCTCAATCAAAAATTAGTAATAAAATAAACTGTAATTTTTCATTCTACTGAATTATCAGCTTTGAACAATTTAATCATACAATGACGATGCGATACGACATCAATTTAAAAAAAGATAAAATACTTTAACAACATAAAACAACAATAAATAGCACAACACAACAGTGCACGACCGCTGTGTGCGTGTCCGCACGAGCATGTCCGCCTAGAGCTGACACCCTGACAGAGAGCTGACCCTCGTCATGCGCTGATGAACGTCAGAACTCGACTCGACTTCATCGACGGAGCGATAAGTCGCTGGCGTCCAATATTGTATTGTTTATTGATGTATGACTTGTGCGCGAATCTATTAGACGAACGACGGTTCATTTTACGATTATCATATAGAGTAACAGTAAGACCTTCTTTATTTATTGTACATACAATCTGCTCCCGTGCAGACCAAGTGCTGCTCTCAACCATCACCATATACATATATGTAGTATCTATCCGCGTGTATGTGTATGCGTGTGTGTGTGTGTGTGTGTGTGTGTATGTAGTTGTATCTTATCCGACAGCTCGCGATCTGATAAACAATTGGCGTAAACAACGTGACTCGGTAGTTACGATACATCGGAAGTGTGCCTTCAATGCCCGCGCCCCGAACTCAGATAAGATTAGTCAATGCCTATGGTTCTCTTGATAGTTTTCACTTGAGAGCTTGTTTTATAAAAGTAACGTCGAGGCGCTATCTGCTATCGCCGTGCAATACTTATCTCGGCCCTATCGCTCGCGTACCTAATACTTAATCTGATTTTCATTTTTCACGGTTACATAACGAATAGCAATTGTAGTGGCAAATTGAACACCCGTTGGACCGAGAGCTCGCCTGAAAGCGACGGTGGGCTTGTAAACGATAGCTCACCGAACTAAAACTGAAGCACCAGTACTCAGACGTGTCTGCATTCCATCACCTTGATATTGCGAGAGCGGTGGTCCTCACAATGTGACATGCGGACAACATCTGTCGAACGCTACCCGCTTTCACCTCAAAATACAAGGAAAGTCACGCGAGCAGGAGACGAAGGAAGGGTGCGCACGTAGCGTTCCGTAGCGCTACGCGTTCGTAGCGAACTCGTAGCAGCGGGCACCCCCTACGCCTCCTGCGTCACTCCCGTCAATGTGACAATGTATACATACTCGTAGTTGAGTGAGAGAGTAGCGAGCAACAACCAGGAAAACAATATTATCTGGAATTGAACTTGTTCCAATTGGCACGTCCGCGTCGTGCGAACGCCGCCCTCACACTTTACATAATAGCATTCATTTCGCATTTTATAAATTTCGCAGGGCACACATTTTAAATATCCTAAAACCGTTCGTGTGCACACACGGCGTCGCAATAGCGAGGCGGGCGTGTGTGCGTGCGCCGCCAATATCATTAAATTGTTGTAAACTTGTGAGACCTAATTAATGTGTGCTCGTTCGATGTTGCCATTCATAAAACAAACCGTAATGTTACAGCTGCGTATTGTTTGACTATGTTGTATGGGTCTCGTGTTGCTTTTATATGGACGGAGTGCTCGCTAATAAACTATTGCAACAAAATCAATTTGTGGTTTTGTTTCTGCGATCATCGAACGAGAATAATAAGCGAACTCGAATGTTTAAAGTAAATAATGATTTAAATATAAATAAGAATTAATTGAAATACAACTGTAAGAGTAGAGAGAGAATATAAGAGGAGAGACATGGCGAGCGAGGCGATGCGTGTACTGACCTGCGGAGCGAAGCCGAGGAACGAGAGTTTTCTTTTCCCGGAGCTCATGGCGCGTGCTGACACGCGGCGTGCGCGCGGTCGACTGTGCGCGCGCGGCTCAGCGCGGCCTCGCGGCACGGCTCACTACGCGCTGCCCAGCTCATCCGCCACTCGGCTCGTCCTCGTCAGATTCTACGACGAGCGTACTTCTGCTCTCTTCCTCGCTCTCTTGTTTAATTCCTAAAATGAAATTGTCACATGACAGCTGCGTTTATATTGCTGTATTTCTGTCTCTATCCCGATTCCACATTTGATTTTTTGACCGACGAGCATTACACGGCCACCAGTGGGTGGAAAATGACTAAGGCACATAGAGGTTAGCGGTCACTGTTAATGGAGGAATCAACCCAAAGTCATCCTCAGACTCCCAATGGGGCAAGCGGTACATAACGATGATGATACACAAGAGTACGAAAGTCCCTCCGTGCCGGCTGGGAGCTTTATTGGACACTAGGTTGTACACGAGTCTTTGCTCTCTTTAATGTACAAAACAACAGGTATCCCTCGGAAAAAATGCTTTTGTTTCTGAAGGAACGTCCTTGTGCCCTTTTTTGCACCCCTGACACACGACAACGTGTATCTAAAATCACATAACGATCTGTGGAGTTGCTATAATACCTACCTATAATAAGAGTGAGAAAAAAGAAAACAAACAAATATGCTTGTAGTTTTGAATTTGTAATACCTATTAGTGGGTATGGATTGGGACAACTATTTCAAATAAACATACCTATCTATTTAAGACAATTTTTGAACTATTACACAACGACAGGGAAATGGAATAGCTTAAGGAAGCCGTTGGTCGGAGAATAAACCGAACATACGATGCTTAGTGAGTATTCCATCGCCGTCCGGGGCTCGAAGATCCGATGGTGGTAGCTAGTCGATAAGCTACGTAAACCCCCGTCGCGTCGCGAGTCCTCCGCAGCACCGGGCGGATTGTAGGCACTCTAGGCCACCGAGATCGTAACTTGTGATAAAACATTTTTTTTTTAATTTCATGTGTTCGTCTAATTGAATTGTTTTATTGATAAGCTGGGCCCCGGCGCGGCAACTCTGCACCGATACCACACTCTGCGGCCTGCTGTAACACTGTTATACTTCCAAACGGTGTGAGCAGACACTACTACACTAGTGACTACATCACTCCGATTGCTCGGGATCGCATATTAACTAGGTATTAGTAAAAGGTATTCTGAATTATCCAGAAATCCCATTAAACGCATTAAAACAATTAATAATCCTTAGCTGTTACTAAGCGGTACTCGCCCTTCGTTCCACGTGCTAGGGCTGCTCTA